GCCCATGTACGCTCAGGCCGCTCAGCCCATCCCTGTTGTTCTGCGCGTGATGACGCCCGCGGCACCGAACGTTTCTGAGGCGCGCTCGCTGGCCCTCTCGCCGGGACCTGCCCCTGCAGCTCCAGTGCCAGCGCAGGCACCTGGAACATCCAGACCATCCACCTGGAACCTCCGACAAGCGCCCTGCAGCAGCGCAGGCACCTGGAATATCCAGACCATCCACCACGGCTGCTGGTGTTCTTTCACTAGGCAGCCTGGGACCCCCGACAAACGCCCCTGCAGCAGCTCCAGTGCCGCGCAGGCACCTGGAACATCGAGACCATCCACCACGGCCTCTGACAAGCGCCCCTGCAGCAGCTCCAGTGCCAGCGCAGTCCAGACCATCCAACGGCTGCTGGTGTTCTCCCACTGGACGCCCAAGGCAGCCTGGAACCCCCGACAAGCGCCCCGCAGCAGCTCCAGTGCCAGCGCAGGTTCCAGACCATCCACCACGGCTGCTGGTGTTCTCCCACTGGACGCCCAAGGCAGCTACCACAGCGGTGATATCGCACTGCTTACAACAATGGTATCTATGGCGGACACGGCGGCTCTGGCAATCACTGGAGCTTTGGGCGTGGCGCACTCCGGTTCCCAGCAGGTCATGCAAAGTTTTCGTCGGCTCTTTGCCTCACGGCGTCTCCGATCGCACGCTGCTGCAGGAGTTCGGAAGGTATGGTGAGATCAATGATGTCTTTGTAAAGCCCGGCTGCGCTCGAGGCAGGCAGTGGGCCTTCGTGACATTCGCTTCGAGTAGCCAGACGAAGTGGGCCATAGCGGCCACACACCACCACCTTTAGCTGCCTGGCTCTTCGAAGCCTTGCGAGGTGATGCTGGCGAGGCATCAGGCTGGCGCCAGTTCGCGATGGCGCCAGCCACAGGGAAATCGAGGAAAGGGCAGAGAGGCCGCCCAGGGAAAGTGGAAGCCGGCTGCCGAGAAGTGAAGTGGCCGAAGTTGTGCTCTGAGGTCAACCTGGAGGAGGCCTTGGCAAGCAGGTACCAAACATCAACGTCATTTTCCGCTTCTCATGAACACGGAGAGGAGAATCTCGAGAGTGACAGGGTCCAGTGCATGGAGGGTTGCTGCTCTAAACAGGGCACAATGGAAGGGTCTTGAAGGGTCATGGATCAGGCAAGAAAGCATACCTTGGTCGTCGAATAGGCAACCAGCTCTGACAGCGTGAAGAGAACCTGTGCGCATGAACCGCGGATCAGCTCTGCAGTGACGGCGCAGCCTTCGGAGTGTAACAGCCTGAGTTGTAGCCATGGCAGACCGCACGTTTTACATGTACATGTTCCTCCTGTGGCTTCTCGGGGCCATGGGCCTCAATGTGATCTACGCGCTTCCCCAAGGGAATGATCAAAAAGGGTTTCGAATGCGACTTCCTCGTAAAGATGATGTCCGTGTTCATCAAGTTGAAGGTCTTGCAAGAAATGAATTTAGTTGGCTACGGCTTCTTCGTGAGGATGAGTTTAGTGGCCAGCAAGGAAAAGTTTTGGAAGGGCAGGTACGTGACAGGCCGAGCAGACATGTATGTGACCAACCAGCAGCCCGTGCAGCAGACTACGAGGCTGAGGACCGGGACATGGAAAACATGGTAACCAGCAAAGAGCCTGTAGGGAATGCGGGCAAGGATCAAGCGACGGTTAGAAAATCAGGGCATGAGGTCGAGGATCAGGACAGGGAAAGCATGGTAACCGGAAAGGCATTCACAAACGACGAGGACAAGAATGTCAACCTCACCTCCAGCAGAAGTACGAGCTCTAAGGATGGAGACCAAGAAAGTGATGAGCTGATCCTGATGCACCGCAAACGAGGAAGATCACCTAGCCCACGGAGGCGAAGACGGGCCAGGGCGGAAAGGAAAGCGGAAAGGCAGCGACAGGAAAGCAGGCACTCCTGGAGCATTGGGGCAGGGAAAACCAGAGCTTCCACGGAGACATGCTCGAGAAGGCCGCTCACCGCGCCATGGCAGAAAGGGATGCAGGAAGAGAGAGGGCATCGTCGTCCAGGGCACCTCCGGAGGTTCCTGCTCTTCCCCCGCTACCAGATGGCTCCGCTAACATTGTGTGGTGGAGCGAAATCCTTGGGCTCCAAGATGCTATGCAAGAAAATGACCGTGTCTTGGACAATAGCACGGTAGAGGCTGCGGTGGACAATTTGAGAGCCATGACGCCAGTGCGGCGCTCAGAAATGGTGGTGGCCCAGATCGTCCCTTTTCTGGGAGTACTACTAGCGGAAATTCTTCGAGCAATAAATCTTGCTCAGCTGCCTGCGCCGCCCGAAGCAGAGGTGATCGAAGATGAGGAATACGACGAACATGCTCTCCTGCAAGGACCATCAGTTCAGCTAGCAGGGCGACAAGAATGCGCTGCGCCCATGACCGTCGACGAGGCTGCGGACTTCCTTGCGCAGGAGGACGAAGACGTCTACTCCCTCATGCAGGAATTTGATGCCAGTATACCGTTTGGCTCCAAGCTGAGCCAACTTCAGGCCCACCTCAACAGCTTTGACGCCACTCAGTGCGCTCAAGTTGCCCCTCACCTGCGCATCATGGTGCAGCGACTACGAGGACTGGCTGGAACTACCTCGATACAAGTGAATGATCGCTTCCTGCGGCTTGGGGCGCTGGTAGCCACCTACCACACTACGGACGTGGAGGTGCCACTGTCGGTGCAGGTCTGGACTGAAGGACAGTTAAGGGTCCTGGTTCCCTACCTGAATGGGGGTAGAACTCCGGACTGTCTGGAGACAGGGCTGGCAGAAAGGGGAAGGGCAAGCACCACGAGGTCCTCGCGAGCCGCATCTTCGAATGACGCTGACATCCCGGAGTATCGTGTTAAGCGGACTGTGGACGGAGAATGGGAACCTGCAACACAACAAGAGGTAGCTGAGTTCAGAGCCCATGACCAACAAGTTCGAGAAGAAGCACGGCTACAAGAAGAAGCAGATCGGCAGGCATTCAACCAGCACGAGGCCAGCCTAGCACAGCAATGGGATGACTGGGCGTTAAGTTCTGAGCTGGGACGACCACAACAACCTCCGAGCCGGAAACGAGTCCGAGCCGGAAACGAGTCAGAATCACTGTCTGTGCAGGAACAAAATCTGGTCAGCAGCTGGGGGAAGCATGCATTGAGGGGATAGTGGAGCACGACCAGCAACCCATGGTGTCCTTTAAATGTCGTGGAGACATCCTAGGACCTAGCATCGCAAACTGGCCCGCAGCTTGCAGAATTCCACAGAGACCACCTACCCGGACTGTCCGAGACTGTGGGTGACTTCATGGAGTCGATAACAGGAAGGCACTGGCTTTGGCAGTTCAGCACAGGTGCGGTGGCCCTGTCGGTCAGTGAAACCGGATTTGGCAGAGACATTGCTGAGGCGTTCGAGCTCTGGACTGCCATGCAGGCTGACACGGACCTGATGGTCAGAAATGTGGCCGACCATCTCATGGAGGCGGCGGAAGAGGGGGCCTCCGAATCCGACAGTCCCACTGTGGAGGTCGAAAAACCCAAGAAGACCGAGAGCTCACAGGACCGCGCGTCGGCTGCTAGGGTTGAGGTGACTGAGGAGCAAGAGGGCACGGACGGGAAAGATACAAGCAACAGCACGCAGGAAGAATCGGAAAAGGACAGGGTCAGTGACGAAGTTCGAGACGGGCATCAGGTAGAGGTAGCAGAGCTGGAGGAGGAAGAGGTCCATGCCACCATGTATGACTCCTTACCAGAAGGACACGATCAGGCACTACGTGATGGGCTTGGTGCTGCGCTTTGTCCTGGGGCTCCTCTGGCTGGCGAAGATGGAGAAAGTCGGAATGTGCTGGCCAACGCCAATGAAGAGATGCAGTTGGAGAGTGCACTGGCAGGGCCTGTAGAAAGCAGTGAAGACGCCAATATGGTCGTCAGTGCAGCGGGGGAAGAGTCGCATGCTGATGACCTGCCGCCATATCAGGTTCCGGAGACGTGGCGTCGTGTCCTGAGCGCTTGGAATGATCCAGCCATAGGTGCAGGGCTTGGAGGGCCGTCTGAACCAGGGCAGGACTCCGTCGTCAGCAATGGTGAGTTCGAGCACGAGGCAGCTGCTGGACATAACCAGGCGGACGTGGACAACCAAAACGATCACGCGGCCGATGCGGCTGGTAGCTCTACGTCTCCTACGACGATCGAGGGCCACTACTGAGCGGCGCGCACAGGAATCTGGGCCGAAGCAGACCAACTTAAAGGGTTGGCTGAAGTGATCCTGTTTTTGGTCATGCACCTTGAATGCTGTGTTGATCTGAAAGTGATGGGGTGCTAATTGTGCCAAGCCGTGTTATCTGCTGCTGGTACATGTTTGCCTTGGTGAGGGATCCTTTGGCTGCTGCACAGAGATACCAGTCAGAGGGGTCTACTCACGTTTGTCTGCTTGAGCTACGGAGGAGAACGCGGGTACTTAGGGGCTCTTATAGGCATGTTAGCATAACTTAAATCTACTTATAACTTCTTATATCTACCGGCTAAGTTTTTTCTAAGTTTTTCTAACTTTTCGTAAGTTTTTGGTTGCGTTTTTGGCTGATGAAACCGAGTTATGTTGAGGCAAGCACGAATTTGTGGCGATTTGGCGAAGCCAATGCTGAATGAGGGAAGTTTCTCTGATATGCAGTTGTTTTTCTGGTGCAACGTTTCTATTCTTGCGCATAGGCTCAAGAAACTATGCGAAAGGTAGCAGGCGCACGAAGAGAGGAACGCGGCTGGGCCGCGGGGGCAGGCAGGCCGTAAGTCTTCTAGAAGTGCTGACTGGCTCTGCAAGCAAGAGCGCGAAGCGCAGGCATGGCATGCATGCAACAGAGCGGCCATGCCGCCGCAGCAGACAAGCACTTTCACGACAAGGCAACACTCTTGCGTGCGCGGCACATCTTCCCGTGTGCAGCTCAGAGCGTCCAACACGAGCCCTAGTATCGACAGGACTTTTTTTTGCGCGCTGTCTACCAGATTGTGAGCAGCGAATCACCTGCTTTCCTCCAGTACCGACTCGGCCGCCAGCGTTGCGGTCCAGCTTTCAACGTGTCGCTGATTCTTTCTGCTGTCAGCTGCCACTCGCACACGCAGTAGGCTGGCTCGGCCTTCAGCACGCCGCGGCGACCCACCAGAGTTATGGTTTCGTCCGTCTCTTCCAGTTCCTCCAGCAGCATGCAAAGATGCCCCTCTCGTAAGTTCCACACCAGCGGCGAGCCCACCTGCACGTTCTGAAAGGGACAGCGCAGTTCGTCGGCTCTCTGTGGCTTGCGCTGCACGGTGTACTGCCACCACGACGCCGGGCGCTTGCTTTGTTCTTGCTTTTCGCAGAAGCGCAGGCAGGATAGCACAGTGAACTCGAAGGAGGTTGTGCGAGTTATTTGATTTTCGACGACCTCCTTCATCGCCTGGTGCTTTCTCTCGCAAGCTTTCGTGTCCAGTACTGCACCATAACGACGAAACTGCTGGGTCTGGTGCAAGGTATAATGGTGCTTTGGACGCACAGCGCTTTCGCCGTAGGCCTCGCAGTACTTGCTGTGGTGCGCGGTCTCCAGCGCAGCCAATTTGTCCAGCATGAAGTCCTGCTGATGAAATTGTAGCAGGCTCAGTGCAACCACGCGCTCACACAGCAGAATGAGACTCTCGAACTCTGCCCGCATCTCAGCCCTCTGCGGTCCGTTAAAGTTCACGGCCCAGTAATGAAGCAATGGCAGGATGGACTGCTGCGTGCTGCCGTCGATGCGCCATTGCTTCTCCCCGAAGTAGGCGTCGAGCAGTTTGGCGCACAGCGACTCTAGTGTGCGCTCTCCGCGGGCACTCTCAAAAGTCCGCGGCACTAGCGTAGCAAGGTCCGCTCGACTGATGCCCAGTTCGCAAAGCCTCCGGCTGAAGGAGAAGACCTCATAGGCCACTATGCCGCCACTGTGGAAGTTGTGCAACACGTCGAAGCATGTTGTGCTGGGCGGCAGGTGCTCTCGCACGTCTCGGTTGCAGACAACGCTGTCCTCTAGGATGTGCAATCCCATGTTGCGCTGCAGATCCTGAAATGCAGCGTTGGACATGTTGTCTTGCTCGGCCGTCAGTAGATCCACGCCTGTCCAAATGTCCGTGTCGGAATTGCGCTCAAAGGACCGCATGTACGGGTTCGCGAGCGAGTGCCATCTTCCTCCTGATCGGACGCACCGGGGTTGCAGGTTTACATGTTGGAGTTTACAAGGTTTAAGGCAAGCGGTGAGGACAGCACTGAGTGAGGTCCTGGAAGGTCCACTGCGACCTGGTCGGCGGCCCCGCGTGCTACCAGATTCCGACACAGCCAGCACGGCTTCCTCCCGGCTGCGCCGCGGAAACCGAAAAGTCCAGCCAGCGCAGCCTCGTCCGCGCAGACCGCAATGAAGCGTAGCCTCACCCATCTGGCATCGTCTTCCCCCAGGTTCAAGACGCCACCCTCGTTCAGGTCGGGCTTCCACGCACGCAGCAGGTGCGGCGCACACGTGGCCAGCCTGCTTCTGGCTGCGTGGGCCACGCTGGTTCTCAGTACTGCCATGGTCAGCCAAGAGTCCGGATGCTGTGTTAGCAAGCCAAAGTTCAGTAGCGTCATGTAGAACGCGTACGCTCTTCTGGCGGGGTTCGGCTGCAAGACATCTCCCGGCACGACCTCGTCCGTGTACAGCAGAGCTTCTACGTCCCCGCCATTCGCGGGCAAGCGATCCCGGAGCATGGACCGAAACCAGGGGATCTCAGTTGCTGCGAGCTGCAGTGCTCGCAGCGGGGACTGCACCTGCCACTGGAACTCGTCGCCTGACTCTAGAGGTAGGTTGACGGTGAGCAAGTTCTGGGCCCACGCCTTCCGTTCTCTCTGCGACCGCATTCGGACGCTGCCTTGCGTTGGCACGTCCTCTTCGTTCATGAGGTCATGCCGCACCAGTGTGTCCAAGAAGCGAGCAGCTGACCCGCTCGACTCACCTCTCTCGTGCGTGAAGGCAGCAGCCGCATCTCTGTATCGTTTCCGCCTTTGGCGTTGAGTGTCAGCAGAGTCGGCAGAGGCCATGGCGGACTGAAGCAACCATGGTTTCGGGTTTAGGGTTTCGGATTTAGGGTTTAGGGTTTAGGGTTTATAGGGTTTGAGGTTCAGGCTCTCTACAGTTCTGTGGGCAAGGGAACTTGCGTTTCGAAACTGCTGCCGGCTCGTCAAGTTTCAACAGAACAGCCCGGTCGCAATTGCAAAGCTCAGGTCTAGGGCAGGCGCTGCAAGGCACGAAGCTGCAGGCAGGCAGGCGTGCAACTGCAGGGCTCGGCTGGGGCAGGCTTGGCAACGCAGTAGCTCCTACGGACATGCTGCCTGTTCTGGACTTTTTTCGCGGGCCATTTCCCTGGCACGTGCTGGTTTCAGTGCGCACGCCCTTCCCACTCACGGCGTGGAGAAAGCCACACCTCGTCGGCGAGCAGGGTACTCTGCCACACGGCTTCCTGCTCCAAGGCCCCCAGTACCGCCTCTTCAGCTGCGCGCTTGCCTGGGGACGGGTCGCAGCTCTCCTCGTCCACGTCCGGCTTGCTGCTGTCCGCTTGGTCTTCACTGCGCTGGCCTTGCTCAGGGAAGCTTGCTGTGTCCTCGAGCACTTCCAGCTGCGTGGCTGCGGGCTCACTTGCGCTTCCTGAGAGCTGCTCTTCACCGTCACCTGGCTCTCCTCCGGCTGCTCGGCAACAGTGTGCGCGCGCTGCTTCGGAGTCTTGAAGAAGGTGGTCAGGGACTTGATCTTCATCACCTGCAGGGGCACTATTGCGGAAGACTGCTCACTGATTCACTCGAACTCGTGCCTCTTTCTCGTCCCCCTTGCCCAGCAGCGCTTGGGAGTAGTCCTCGCTGCAGCGCTGGCGCTTAACGCCATGCGGCATGGCGACAAGGTGACAGGCGGTGGAGCAGTGCTGTAAGCCGCGTGCTGCTGCGAAAGCAGGATCCTGCGCAACCAGCTAAAGCGGCGAGGCCGCGCTATAGCCTGTCGGGACTAGCCGATGACATCGCGGCAGAGCCGCGGAAGCGTCCTGCGCACAAGAGCTGCAGGCAGGCAGACGGGCAGGCAGGCAGGCGTTTAGGGTTTCGGGTTTAGGGTTTAGGGTGTAGGGTTTAGGGTCTAGGGTTTAGGGTTTAGGGTTTAGGATTTCCTAAACCCTAAACCCTAAACTCTAAACAAGTAATATTCGTGGTATCTG